CAGGGCGCCGGCGTCCCCGCCCCTGGCCAGAGCTGCCCCGACCCGGCCCGGTTCGAGGCCTGTCCCGGCGCAAGGCCATTTCTGGGTCCCAGCGCGGGCAGAGGGGCCCCGCCCCGCCCAGGCCGGGCTCGGGTCAGGGCTGTCCTGGGCACTCGTGAGGGCCGTCTCCTGTGTCTGCGGACATTCGGAGACCACGCGTGGGGGAGTTCAGACCCCCGGAGCTGCACAGGACAGACGCAGGCGGGCGCCGTGGCTCACACCTGGGATCCCAGCGACTCCGGGAAGCCGAGGCAGGGGCTTTGCTTGAGCTCAGGAGTGCAAGACCAGCCTGGGCAACGCAGCGAGCCTTCACGTCTACAAAGCATCAAAATAATTAGCCAGGCACGGTGGCTCACGCCTGTAGTCCCAGCTACTCAGGAGGCTGAGGTGGGAGGATTCCTTGAGGCCGGGAGTTCAAGACCAGCCTGGGCAGCATAGCTAGACCCTGTTTCTACCCCCCCCAATTAAGTGAAAACAAGAAAAGGGCTGGACTCGGTGACTCAGCCTGTAATCCCAGCATTTTGGGAGGCTGAGATGAGTGGATCGCCTGAGCCCATGGGTTCGAGACCAGGCCGGACAACTTGGTGAGCCCTCATCTCTACGATTAAAAGAAAAAAAAAAAGCTGGGCGTGGTAGCGCGCGCCTGTAGTTCCAGCTCCTTGGAGGGCTGAGGCGGAAGGATTGCCGGAGTCCAGCAGGTCGACACTGGGGTGGCCACGAGTGTGCCACTACACTCCAGCCTGGGTGACGGCACGAGACTCCAACTCAAACAAACAAACAAAAACACCTCCTGACTCTGCCACTGGTCTGAACGAGGCAATCCACCTTCTGTTCCTTCCTCTTCCCTGGAGTTGGCTTCTTCACCATGTGGCTTGGCCAACTTGGAGGGGAAAGCTGCCCAGCTAAGCCCCGGGGAGGGTGCTGCTTGGTGAAGCCCAGGGTGGCTGTCGTGGGGTCCCCAGCCACGCTGGATGAGGCGTGGTGGAGAAGTTTCACGTGCCCACCCTGGAGCTCGTGGGCTGGGAATGGGGGTTGGGCGGGTCCCCAGGGAACATTGGGTGCTGTTTTCCAGAAAGGGGCATCGGTGTCGGGTGGGCAAAAGGGCCAGAGGACCGGGAGCTGGACCCCACCCACCCCGGGGTGTTGGGGGGGTCTCAAGGTCCCCTGGGAGAGACGGTCCTGGCCGCTGCTCAGCTCACTCTCTCTGCAGCTCCTGGGGCCCTGTTCCCTCCAGGCTGTCCTCCTGCCTCTCTGGCTTCTCCTCTCTGCCCTCCGCAGGCTCCTCTCTGTCCCCCTGTCCCCTGGAGGTAGGTGCCCCCACCGCCACTGTCCACGGGTTCTTCCGTAGGACATTTGCTGCCAAATGAATCCACTCACGCAGGGCTCCGGCTGCGCCCTCTCCTCCTGAGCCTTCGTGGGCTCCCCACTGCCTAGAATAAAGCCCCCCCGAGCTTGGTCTTCAAGCCCCGCCAGCCCCGCCTCTGGCCTCGTCGCCCTGCCTACTTGTGGCCTGAACCCTGAGCCCCCAACCCCCATTTTCAGACTCGGGGGGACCTGCAGTGGGGTCTCTCTCTTCTCCACAGCAGGGAGCGTGGGGCCCGTGCAGAAGTTTGTCACCTGGAGACTGAGGCGCGGTAGGTCACGCAGGCCGGGTCCCGCGGTCTGTCAGATGGGCGGGCTCGCAGAGCAGCCAAGGGGCTTTGGACCCAGCCTGAGGGCCAGGCGGCTGGAGACGGCACGGGGGGCGGCTGGAATAACCAGACTGAGCTTGCTAGGAGAGATGGGACATGTGGGGTGCCTGCTGGGGCCGGGGCTGGGACACCCAACGGTAGATTTTGGGGTGGCAGGGGCTCCTGGGCTGGGACCCCAGTGGGGAACAGGGTGCAGTGGTGGTGTGTGTTCAGGGGTGACTCCATTAAGGACCAGATGCAGTGGCTCACCCTGTCATCCCAGCACTTTGGGAGGCAGAGGCGAGAGGATTGCCTGAGTCCAGGGGTTCAAGACCAGCCTGGGCAACTTGGCGAGTCCTCATCTCTACAACAAATCAAAAAATGAGCTGGGCGTGGTGGCACGTGCCTGTGGTCTCAGCTACTCGGAAGGCTGAGGCGGAAGGATCGCCGGAGCCCAGCAGGTCGAGGCTGCGGTGACCGGGAGCGGCCACTGCACTCCAGTCTGGGCGACTGAGTGAGACTCCAACTCAAAAAAAAAGAAAAGCAAAGAACCCCACTGGGCCAGGTGTGGAGCTCACACCTGTAATCCCAGTTCTGTGGGAGGATCGCTTGAGGCCAGGAGTTCAAGACCTGTAACATAGCGAGATTCCCATCTCTACAAAAGATTTAAAGTTAGCTAGGCATGGAGGTGCACACCTGTATTCCCAGCTACTTGGGAGACTGAGGCAGGAAGATCCCTTGAGCCCAGGAGGTAGAGACGGGCTGCAGTGAGCTATGACTGCACCACTGCGCCCCAGCCAGGGAGACAGAGCAAGACCCTGTCTCTAAAAAACCAAAGAAATGGCTTGCCTCTGGTAGGGGGCTCGTGTAGGAGCTGAGGGGCCGGGGCTGGCGCCCCACAGGAGAGGGTCGCTGTGGCCGGCCTCGGTGGGCGCACACCGACCGGCTGGGCTAGGGCCCCTGTCTCAGGCACCTGGGCCTGCTGCCGCGGGTGCTGGCCCCCGACCCGGCTGAAGGGGGTCCCTTCCCCCTCCCTCGTGGCTTCCTCACCACACGCTTTGCTCCGCCCTGCAGACCGGGAGAGGGGCCGGGCCCTGCTCTCGGCCAGGTCCGGGAGCCCCTCCGGCCAGCTGCCCAGCATGGAAGAACGAGTGCAGGCCTGGGAGGGCCGCCGCGCCCGCATTCAGGATCTGGCCCCGCGGCTGCTGACTGACGACGAGGTGCTGGCTGTCACCCGCCACTGCTCCCGGGTAAGCCCTGCACTCGGCCCCGCGGGCACCCGGGCCACTGACCACACCTGGGCTCGAGGCAGGAGGCCAGTGGCCAGTAAGAGCAGAAGTCGCCCCGTCACCCGGTCCCCCGCCAAACTCGCAGTCGCGAAGGACAAATAGACAGTCACTAGAATCTAAACACCATGGGGACAGGTCGCATGAAGTGTCATGGAGGGAAAGGACATGCGAGGACAACCCAAGAGACGCCCATGAGGTGGTGTGGTCTGGGAAGCCTTCCTGGAGGAGGTGATGTTTAAGCTAAGGCGAGAGGGAGCCAGACAGAGGATGGGTGGGGGAGTGAGCCCCCTGGTCACCTGCCTCAGCCTCTCTGAGTCCCCACTGTCCCCCATCCTCTCCTGCTTCTGCGAGAGCCAGCAGGCCCCTCCTCTGTCGCCCAGGTAAGCCATCCTCCCTACCGCCACGACACTGTTCTCCATTCCCTTCCATTCAAACGGAAGCAGAGGGCCCAGGCGGGGTGGGAGTCCGCCTTGAGGGAGTCCCTGGAGCCCGGGTGTGGAGAGGCTGCTGGTGCGTCTCACCCCTCCTGGGGGACCAGAAGGTCCTGTCCTGTCCTCAGGATGGTCCCGTGTCTGTGTTGAGCTCCCTGGGAGGGCCGTGCGCTGGGGTACACCGAGCGAGGGGGCGCCAGGTCACGCGTGGACCCCCCGTCCTGCTGGGGGGCACTGGGTTGTGTGTCTGGAGGCCCCTGGGGTGTGTCACCATGAGGGCCTGACTGCCTGGGAGCGCGTGTCTGTGCATTGTCACCTGGAGACGGAGACACGGTCGTTCGCACGCCCCTGTGCCGAGGGGCCTGGCTCCCGGCGGAGCTGCGGACGGGGTGCGGGCTGGGGCAGTCAGGGCCGAGCCTGGACACAGGAGTCACCCTCCCTCTGAGTGCCACGTGGGT